AATCATATAATACAATAAATTTATCACTTGTTATAAAGTTTAATTCCCCTATAAGTTAATCCCTTTAAGAGTCTGGTTTAAACATTTTTATTTTTTTTTCCCCAGGAATAATTAATCTTGGCTTTAGGCCATTTCCCTCTATTGCTTATTGAATATGTGGGTATATGGTTATCAAATATACTGTTTTATATGTTTCCAGCCCCCTGATGCCTCTACTATTTGTTATTCATTAGTGGTTGATGTGAAACTCTTTAAATGCAGTAACTTCTTAATGAAATGCCCACAGTCCTTTTCAGGATTTGAATTTCTGTGGCTTTTGGACTAATTTGCTAACATATCCATATTAACAGCAAATAGGAGGATAAATCTCTGGGAGCAAGAGACCAGTGAGCAGTGTTAGCTTGTAGTCAGTTTTATTTTCTGTACTACCTGTATTTGAGTTGTTATAACTCCCTGTGTGTAGATGGTGGGCTGTAAAATTGATTGCAGACCTTGGATGCAGAAAAAAATACAGGAAAATAAGGAAAAATCTGTCTTTACTTGGCTACTTCTGCTGCAGAAAACATCTCAGAAACTTCAGAAATTTGAGGGTTCAACCAGAGGAAAATACATTAGGCTTGGATGAGAGATTTGGAAGACTATGTGTGGAAATGTGTTAAATGACTCTATTACCGTGGTTAGCAGTTAGGGATGAATTGAAAAAAAAATCTCTGCAACTTGGTCCTTGGAGGTTTTTTGGTAGAGATTTGAGGTGTAATGCGCCATACAAACAATGCATTCTGTTTTCATTTTAAGATTGGAGCAGATATTTGTGGTTTCTTTGAAGATGTCACAGAGGAACTTTGTAGACGATGGATGCAAGTGGGAGCATTTTACCCATTTTCCAGGAATCACAATACTGAAAAATGCATAGTAAGTAGTACAGCCTGCTATGAAAACTTGTTTTGCGGTACACATTTTTATTTTGATAATTAAATTAAGTTCTGATAATTAAGTTACTGATCATTAAATAGCCGAGTGGTTCAAAATTGGTAAAAACTTATACTTTGGGAAGTCTTTGCTCCAAAATGTTTAGCTTTGTAGGAGTTAATTGTATACAGCAGAGAATACATTTGGCATCATCTTATTTTTGAAATCCTCATCCAACATCAAATTTGGTCTCCGTTGGTGGTGTCCACAATGAGGAGCAAGCACTTGCTGCTACCTGACCTACCACCCTGATTTTTGGCTGCACCCCTCAGTTATATCCTGAATGCTCTGTGCAACAGCAGTAATAATATATTATTTATTTTCAGCCCCAGGATCCTGCTGCCTTTGGAGCTGATTCAGTTTTGGTGAAATCCTCAAAGCACTACTTGAATATCCGCTATACGTTGCTGCCCTACCTTTATACGCTCTTCTACAAAGCTCATACCAGAGGAGACACGGTGGCACGGCCGGTTCTCCATGAGTAAGTTAACCTTCACAATACAAGAATGAAGTAATTCAGACAGGTCAAACATTGTTGGGGATTTGCTAAACCCATCCATAGTTTGTGAAGGATGCTGCCCATCATCATATGTACAGACACCTACATTTACGAAACACTATTTTGGAGTAATGGGGAGAGTCATCAAAACCCATCTGTAATTTCTGCATGCACGCTGATATTGTTGTCAGTTACGAAATGTCATTGGCAACTGATGAAATCATTCTCCATCAGGATATATATTTCAATATTTTTATTTTCTTACCTTTGTTTTCTTGATTTTCTTGAAACTCTTGAATAAAACTATATTAAGACCAGACGCCCCCAGGCACACTTAATGCGTATGCATAATTAATGCATACAAAATTAATAAGCTGTGAATTTACTTGCTTAACCTCAGATTGCCTTCACCCAAATAGTCTTGGAGCATCGCCATGTGACGCTTGTTAATAGTGATTCTAGACAATCGGAGACCTTGAAACATTTGGATTGCTCTTGATAATATTGATTAATATGTTCTTAAATAGTAACTGCAATTAATGCCGCTGCTTTCCTATTTGCTTAGGTTTTATTCTGATGAAGCAACATGGAGTGTGGATAAGCAGTTCTTGTGGGGTCCTGGGCTCCTCATTACCCCTGTGCTTGATCCAGTAGGTCTCACTTTCTTGACATCTTGTAATGAATTCACGGGGGCACCTCAAGTCACCAGTGCCACCTTTTCTACAGGGAATTGCAGTAAAAGCCCCAACAAGTTAAATTTCTGGACCCTCTATTCCCCTCATTCTTTTATTCCCTCGATTTGAAACTGCCTTTGGATTTTCTATCTTATTCAGTTTAAAAGTCAGAGTTCCCCTATTTAGGGCATATGTATTTCCCCTGAAACCATGCTCCTTCTCTTTTTTAAGGAAAAAAAAGAAAAAAGTAGGATCTCCCATTTCCCTGATGAACCTAATAAATTGGCGCTGGTCCTATTTTAGCCTGACCACATATACTAATTAGTAGAACAAAACGTTTGTTAAATGTAGCACATATCTGAAACAAACCAACATGGAAAAAGTAAAATTAAGAAGATTTAACCTCTGAGATGGTGTGTTTGCAGTGTTGTAATTTTGGGTTACAAACAATGAGTTTCTGTCTTACGGCTTTGCTGAAATGATACCTGGATTGTTATCTTCCTTTTTGGGCATCATTGTGGAAAACTGTGAAAGAAAACAAAAAAATGAGAAGAAATATTGATAATTTTCTCATTGTCAACTTTATTATGATTTTTGGAAATTTTGTCTTACTTTCATTGTATTTTCTCTCCCCTGTCCATTTAAGGAGGGGGAGTGATAGAGCAGCTGGGTGGGCACCTGGTGGCCACCCAAAGTTAATCCACCACATTGGATTAACGTAGGCTTGAATGTGAAAGTAATTTCTGTGTTTCCCTTCCAGGGCATGGACGTCATCCAAGCATATATCCCTGATGCAGTCTGGTACGATTATGATTTGGTAAGTAAGTAGGATAATTGGGTGGGGGTTTCTAAATTTCCAAGTGAGAAGGTCACATAGGTGTGGGTTGAGTTCAGGATTTAGGACCAGGCTGAATGAAACCTTAAACAAAAGGCGTATATATATATATATAAAATGTAAGCAAAATATAATATTACTAATAATGCGTGAAGGATTTTGCCATTAGCTGTTGCTAATCTAATTTCTGGAAAGCGATTCCCCACTGCTGTGGTGGTGGTTTTAGTTTGTGGAAAAGGGACGTGGTTCACTGCAGACATCCCAGCAGGGCCTGCTCTTGCTGGGTTGATTATTACATAAATAATCTGATATAAAAAACTGAAATAATAAGCTGAAATTAAATAATGAGAGTTATTTATATATAGCATTCTATAACATTCTGGGCTGTGATGGTTTGACTCTCGTGACCATCAGCAGCAATATGAACATTCACAGAGCTGAAACCTTTGACTAAAAGGAAGAATTAAGGCAAAAGGAAGAATTAAGAAGAATTAAGATAAAACTCAGGATTTAAGGCAGCAAGGAGTAATGCAATCTACTGCTCCTTTTTCATCCCTCTTCATTAGGGCGCAAAAATCTGGTTGAGAAAACAGTGGACAGATATGTACCTTCCTGCAGACAAGATGGGGCTTCACCTGAGAGGAGGCTATATCTTTCCTTTCCAACAGCCGGCCACCACAACAGTGGCAAGGTAAATCTCCAGACTGAATGTTTTCTCCACTAAATTGGCATGAAATGTGATTTCAGGAATGGGCTCAAGGCTGCCTCGTTGCAGAAAAAAAAGTAGCACCTTTGTTGTTATTACTACTACTACTACTATTATTATACTTTTTATTAGTAGTAGTATTATTAACGTTGTGTTCTTACATTACAATATTACCTTATTGGTAGTATTTGTAGTAGCATTATTATTTAGTAATAATTAGCATTTGTGCTTTGAAATTTGGGAGTAACTGTCAGTCGGCACTGACTGCCATGGCTGATGACAAAATACGTTTAAGGATTAACCAGGGGGTGGGTTTTTTCTTCATGTAACATTTTCTAATCTGACCGTGGATTTTGTTCTGTTGCATGAAAATCATTGAACATGAAAACCGTGGACAGCCGTGGACTAATGCAAGACAATTCTCAAAGTTTTGAAACCCTGTTGAACGCTATACTCTTAATATGAATATTAAAGACTGCCTAGATATTTATTATACATCCAGAATTGTGTTGTGGTTTGGGTTTTATTGTGCAGCCGTAAGAATCCTATGGGACTTATCGTTGCACTGGATGACAATAGTGAAGCAGTTGGGGAGTTATTCTGGGATGATGGAGAATCGACAGGTGAGCCTTTATCGATTGTTGTAGTGAAGTAATGATGACAATCAAAACATTAGTACTCACAGATTTGAATCATTGAACTGATTTCATGGAAGGAGGATAAAATTTTTAAAAAAATTAAAAATAATTTAACATTAACTATTTTAAATTTTTACAAAATCTTAAAAAAAAATATAACAAGCTATTACTACTTTTTCACCATCAAATAGAAAAATGCTATCTTCTTAATTTTTTCCTTTTTTCTTTTTTTCTCGTTCAGATTTCATAATAGTCTTACATATGTAAAGATTTTGGCAACTGTTAAGCCACACTGTCACAATTGATACATTTTCTGTTACGCCCCCAAATGAGTTTCAGTGGGTACAAGAACACACGTAGTCCATGTTTCACAAGAAGATTCAGTCAAAGATGAAAAACTCGTATAGTTACTGTACCATTTGGAATTAGTTAAATTCCTTGGGAAACCAGCAGAAACATCATTAACTCAAAAGGGGTGGTATTGAACCCCAGAATCTGTTAAGGCATTTGGTTCCCACAGCATATCCATGAATATATAACGGGCTACGTGTGTTATGTTCCCAACCTCACTTTTTATTAACAGCTGACTGAAAACTTCTTTTTCAGAGATAATAATCAGGTCAAAGCGCCGCAACATATTTCAATGAACTGGGATTGATACTACTCAACTCCCAATCGTTCTTCTATCAAACAATTTACATCCTTTTTAAGGAACAAGTTTAGTGCAATACTAAGATCATAATTTAATTCAACCCAAGTCAAAAACTATGAATTTTAGGCTAAATTCATTTTTCTTATGGTGAAAATGAATGCCTTCGGAATACAGGTGTATCTAAGAAAAGCAGGGGTGATTCCAGAGCAATGGAGGACCCTTGCCAACAAAAATACTATCATGTTTTTATTTCAATCTTGAGGTGAAGGTGTTTTTGGAAAATGAAGAACCTTGAGTTTTCTAAGGTATTTCCAAGGCTTCAGTTAGGCATCCAGTTTTCATTAGATTTAAGTAAACTTGGATACTTAAATTCTTCAGGTGCTTTTGAAGCCTTTGTCCTTCAATATACATTTTCTAGAAAAGACAGAAAGCAGTTTAAACATTTTTGCTGAAATTGTTTTTGGAAGACATTTTATAAAATACTCAAGCTTGTATTAAAGATGGATTATTTTTTATTATTTTTATTACTACTATATAATGATAATAATTTTTATTTGAGAGATTTTCTTGTTTTATTTGCAACCAACCGTAATATGAAGAGCAGAGGGCTTTGGTTTATGCCATATTCCTCTTAATAATACTGCATTTCAGATGGACCTGGTCTTCTCTAATTCATGCCCTATTATGGGCTGTTGTGAATGGGAAACTTAGTGGGCTTTTAAAAAAAAACTGGTGAAAATATTTGAGCTTTAATTAGCTATACTAAAATAAAATGTAGGTTAGAAGCTAGGAGAAGTACCTTGACCTTAGAGAGCAGGTCAAGTCAAATTACTAAACTATGCCAAAAGTGTATACTAAAATGGCACATATTTGCCATTAATATATATTGATTTAATTGGAGTTTATAGTCCTTCATCTAAGAGAAAAATAATTGGAAAAAAAATACTGGATTATGACAGTGAGGAAAGGCTATCAAAAGTAACAAGAAATACTTTTCTAAGGACAGGAACAATATGAAAGAAGAAATATGCCTAATGAATGGGCCAAAAATGGGCAGGTTAGGTGGCTTTCTGGCACCCCCAGCAGCATATAATGTCATGACTCAATAGATAACTTCTGAACTTAAAAAAGACTGCCAAAAAAAGAAGGATTTCAGGAAAAGGTAGAAATATCAGTGCCCTGCATCAATTCGACAAAATATTTGAATTGGCAGAATGTTAACTATCAATGCTCAAAACTAATGAGGATTTCATAAGCTATTGCAGTTTGTCCTGCAGCTGCTCAGTAGAGTAGCTTTTGAAGGTAACTGTAACGATAATAATAATTAACATTTTTCTGGTCTTCCAGCTTTCCTTTTTTAATGCTGTCTCATTTCACACTGCAGTTGTCGTTTCTTTCTCCACATTTTAGGTACTGTTAACAGCAAGTCCTACATTTCCTATGACTTTAAAGTTTCCAATGTAAGTATGCATTATTTTGAAGGATCTAATTTTCATTTCCAATTTTAATCAATAATATTTTCTGTGGATATTCTTTTTTTCCCCCTCCCTATTTTCCTAAAATATTACTAAAAAGTAAGGTATTTGACAAAGTGCCATTTCAAAGTATTGGGACTTGTCCAAGATGGAAATCTGGTATTTGTCTTTTCTTCCCCTAATTATTTTTAATATCTGAAGATTCCCAATTTCCTGTCACTTTACAGAACAACAAAAAAAGACGTTTATAGACTTTGTATACAGTTTACAGAGCAGAAAAAACTGTAAAGCATCAGTGCCAGTTAGGATAAGAAAGGAGATGAATGGCTTGTTTGTGAGTCTCAAAAATTTGAGAAAGTGACAAAAATCTTTGTACATTGGGGAAAAAAATGTAGCTGAATGTCTACAATGAGTGAGACAAAGGGTGCGACCAGAAAATGTCAGAACGCAGAACATCCACATCATAATTTTTCACAGTAGTAAGAAAGTTTTACATTGGAGTATGTGACAGCCATGGCGCAGTTCGACAGGTTGGACTCATCTGATATTACTAAATATAATGGAACAGAGCCTGGCTTTTCTGTGTCAAGAAAAGTGAATGTATTATATGCATACATATGTTATGTATATAATACAGAAACATGTATTATACATAACTTATATAATACATATTTTTATTTATTTAGAGAAAAAAAAATTGTTGCTTTTCAATTTAAATCAGGAGAAAATTTTGCAATTCAATGCAATTATTTCATTATTCCTCAGAACGTTCTACAAATGAATGTCACAAACAACAACTATGCCAATCCAAACAACCTGACTTTTGAAGAAATCAAAATATTGGGATTGCTCCAGGAACCAGTGTCAGTTACTGTGTTGCAGAACAGCAATGTGCAAAATTTTTCTCATAATATCACCTATGATCCTGTAAATAAGGTAAATAATAATAGGAAGACTGGCATGAAGAATCTCTGGAGTATTTTATATATTGAAAAGGAGAGTATTGAGTACTATGGTAAATGCCACAGTATATGCGTTGTATTTTACTAAAAAGTACAATTACACTATTTAACTTAATCCTAATGTCAATTATGTTAATAATGTTAGTTGCATTAAAGGGGGTGGATCTACATTTTGCCATCAGACATTTCATGCGACACACAGTTTTTTTTTGTGGGTAAGTTCAATTTGTAAGAGGAGGAACAGCTTTAGGATTTTAGTTGATACTGTAAGAGGGTAAATAACATTTACATTTTTTAACCACTTACATTTTAATTTTAAAAGGCTGAAGAGCCGTGCCTCATCTTCACCCCTGGCATGTTTCCATGGGACTTGTGGGGTCAGATCTTTTTCAGATCTCCTGTGCAGGAATTTCAGACACGTGAACTTGTAAAAATAAGGCTGTCTGAGGAGAGATGCTAAGTTTGATGGAAGTTGCTGCGTAGACCAATTTCTTGTTTTTAAGGATCTGAGAAAAACATTGATGGGAGGTAGAATTTAATGGAGCTTTATTGTTTAATATTTATAGGTTGCTCTCATACAAGGACTCCAGCTCAAACTGGGAAAATCCTACTCATTAAGGTGGACGCTAGGAACCAGTGTCAATGAAAAATATGATTGTCATCCTGGTCTGAACGCTTCCAAGGAAAAATGTGAACAGCTCGGGTGTGTCTGGACTGTAAGCAAAAATTTTTGAAAACCAAATTGGGGAGAAGCATATTAAGAACTGTGACTTTGTTTTTATACTTACTGAGAATCTGTTAGGGCAAGGAATCGCTCAACCTTGAGGAGTAACCAGCCTTGAGAGACGACCCTACTCAAGGGGCATGGCGTGCAGCCCGCTGCCGTGCAGGAGAGCTCAACGGGCCCTGGGCTCTCCGCTATTTGTAGAGTAAGGTGATTGACTTATAGTCATATTTGCATACTAGCGAGACCTCTGGGCCACCGTTCCAGACAGCCCTTGGCTACCGTGTTGCCCTCTACCCTCAAAGTCCAGAGTAAGCTGGATGTGGCTATCACAACCCCCACTGGTGGCTGTTGCTTAAGAAAGTGGGGGGAGCACACCACTGCAGGTGGAAACAAGAGTTTTGAAATTCTTGCTGCTAAATAAAAGAAAAAAAAAAAAGAAAAAAGTCAGCAATTACCTAATTCCCTCGTCGGCCACATATCTCCATCTACAGGAAGATACCTCCAATTTAGATGTTCCGTACTGCCATTACAATGGCCCTGACAACGGTTATTCTGTTGCTGATGTAAAATACACATCGTCAGGTGTGACAGCCAATCTCACTTTCAACAAGAGCAACCTCAAAGCCTATGAGAACTCAACATTACCCATCAGTACCCTTCGCCTGGAGGTGAAATATCACAAGAACCATATGCTGCAATTTAAGGTAATGCAGAATTTCTCTGAGTTTGTATTATTCCAGTGGTCAAAATAGTGTTCTTTCTGGGAATAATGTTTCTAGACAATTTTGTGTTACGTGGATAATGCTTTGTCATCCAAATAAGTTTCTTCTTTTAACCAAATAGCTTTTATTGCTCTTAGTCTTGAATCAACACATGCCAGCTTCTATGATACAGAAAACCTGAAGAGAAATCTCTTCAATCTCTTCAAAATTCACCAAAAAGGTGAAATTCATTTACCATACATAAAAATACACTTGAATCAATACATTGAAATAATTAAATGAGTCATTCCGGGCCCAAAACGAAACCTTTAGGTTCTTTATTTCCCAATGGAAATGTTTTGAAGGAATTTGAGAAAGAATACATACTGAAAGAAAACACTTATCTCGGCAAATTTACTCAAACATTTTAAGTAATTTGGATTTCTTACCGTTACTGGTAAGAAACAATTGAACAGTTCTCTGTGTCGGACTCAGAGTCTTCCACTCTGCAGATGAATTTCTGTCAGTCAATAAGAATACAAGAAAGTGCTTTCACTGTTTTTATCCTGAATCCTTGAAAATGTAGCTTTCTAATTTATGCATATTCCATGTATGTTGAATTAATTTTCTGTGCATAGATTTATGATTATGCAAATGAACGATATGAGGTGCCGGTACCACTAAATCTCCCCGAGTCCCCAGAGAGCACAGTCAAGAATCGACTTTATGACGTGACAATTCAGAACAAACCATTTGGCATCCAGATTCGACGCAGAAGCACAGGGACAGTGATGTAAGCCATGCTTATTTAATTTCATTTTTTCATTTCATTTTGCTAATTTCATTTTTTCATTGCATTTTGTTAATTTCATTTTTCTTTATTTATAAATTGAATTTAATTTCATTATTTTTCTTCTCACCTTTCATTTCATTATTTGTTCGCCTCCTCTTTTCTTTCTTCTCTTCTCCTTTTTCCTTTTCCTTTTTTTACCGCCGTAACATTTTATTATCCAGTCTGTTCTAAATGCCATGAGACAAGTTTTTGTGTCCGTCCCATAAAATGACCACATCTGTCAAATACTAAACTCTACTCCAGCGGTGGTCACTTGACCTTTGCATAAGTATGAGGATATTAACCCAGAGGAAGAATGGAGAAGGTGACCTGGACAAGACCCTATTTTTTTCCCCAAATTGGCTAAGGTGTTTCCCTGCCAACTCATACTTCGATACTGGCTAAAAGTCCTCAGCATCATCTTCAAGTATGAAACGTAGACATTTCCAAACAGTAGTTTTTGTGGAATTCCCAAGTATCTGGGACACACAACAATTTTCTACACTTTCTAATACTTCCTAAGATTGTGGGGATTTTTTTGTCTTGCACTTTTTGATTTAAAATAATTTTTTTTGCCATTCTTAAAGTAATCAAAATTTAATTGCAAATTGAGTTCCTTTTTTGCTGACCAGAGTAAATTCTTCCTTCCGTAATTCAGCCTCCCACATCTACAGCAGTCATTGGAAGAACACTATTGGATTTTGACTCAGTTTTTAACAGAAGAAAGCTGATTTACACCTTAATTTTTCAACATAACCTGCACAAGACCCCCATTAATCTCTAACCCCTTCCATTAAATGCTAAAAAAAAATACGTTAAACTCTAAAAAAAATTCATAATGTTGTTCACGTTTTCTTGATAACCATAACAGTTTTATTCCAACTTTGTGAATAATGAGATTTTTAGAGAAGAGTTGGCCTTGAAAGGGTGACCACCAGCTAACACCTGGTGCTGAAATTGCTGTCGTCTTGTTTTATTTTCCTCCTCTTCAGTTGGGATTCTCAGCTACCGACTTTCACCTTCAGTGACATGTTCATTCAGATTTCTACCCGTTTGGCATCCCAATATTTGTATGGCTTTGGTGAAACCGAACACACCATGTTTCGACGTGACATGAACTGGCACACCTGGGGAATGTTCACCAGGGATCAGCCTCCGGGTGATTGGGGGGGGGGGGGGTAGCAAGCCCATTTTTGCTTTCTTTTCTGGAATTTCTGCTTTTTTACTTTGTGTCAACCAGTGTTGGTTGACTATGGAGATACCCAATCCTGCGTCTGGGTTGGCGCAACCTTCGGTATCAATACAAGTTAGGGGATGAAGGGATGGAGAGTAGCCCTGCCGAGAGGAACGTGTAGGTACTCGTGGATGAAAAGCTGGACATGACCCAGCAATGAGCACTTGCAGCCCAGAAAGCCAGCGGTATCCTTGGCTGCATCCAAAGCAGCGTGACCAGCACGTTGAGGGAGGAGATTCTGCCCCTCTGCTCTGCTCTGGTGAGAACCCCCCTGCAGTACTGCCTTCAGCTGTGGGGTCCTCAGCACAAGAAGGACATAGAATCATAGAATCATTATGATTGGAAGAGACCTCAAAGATCATCAAGTCCAACCATACACCCGATACCACCATGCCCGCTAAACCCACTAAACCATGTCTTGAAGTGCCACATCTAAACGTTTTTTTGAACAACTCCAAGGATGGTGTGTCCACCGCCTCCCTGGGGAGCCCATTCCAGTGCTTAACGACTCTTACAGTGAAGAAGTTCTTCTTAATATCCAACCTGAATCTCCTATGCGCAACTTGAGACTATTTCCTCTTGTCCTATCGCTAGTTACCGGGGAGAAGAGACCAACCCCCACCTCGCTACATCCTCCTTTCAGGTATTTTTAGAGAGCGATAAGGTCTCCCTTCAGCCTCCTCTTCTCCAGACTAAACAATCCCAGCTCCTTCAGCCGCTCCTCGTAAGGCTTGTTCTCCAGGTCCTTCACCAGCTTTGTCACTCTTCTCTGGACACGCTCTAGCAGCTCAATGTCCTTCTTGTAGTGAGAGGCCCATAACTGGACACGGTATTCAAGGGACGGCCTCACCAGCGCAGAGTACACTCTGGGGAGACCTTATTGTGGCCTTTCAATACTTAAAGGGGGCTTATAAGAAAGATGGGGAGGGACTTTTTAATAGGACTTGTAGTGATAGGACAAGGGGTATTGGTTTTAAACTGAGAGAGGGTAGATTCAGACTAGGTACAAGGAAGAATTTTTTCACAGTGAGGGTGGTGAAACACTTGCCAAGGTTGCCCAGAGAGGTGGTAGATGCCCCATCCCTGGAAACATCCAAGGTCAGGTTGGATGGGGCTGTGAGCAACCTGATGAAGATGTCGCTTCTCATTGCAGGGGGATTGGACTAGATGACCTTTAAAGGTCCCTTCCCACCCATACTATTCTGTGGCTCTGTGATCTGTCCTCCTGGGTCAGATCTGGGCAAAGTCCTACAACTTTGGGATTGAATTAGGACTTGGGAGTCAAATGAAAAAATTTTATGTTTCAGCATACTAACGTACTGGTTTTTGCGTAACACCAATATTGGCAATTTGCAGGGGATTAATCATGGAATAGCAGTGCCTTATTATAGCTATAATTTGAAAATCCGAAACATTTTGAGTAAATGAAAAATAAGAGAAAATCACCAGCTTGTCTTGATGATAAAGGCTACCTGGAAATATTTGAAAAGAAGAGGAAGTTTTCTCCTAGGGGAGTGATTTCGTATTAGCGATTTTTAAAGCTAGAGATACATTTTTTTTTTTTCTTCCCTCCCCACCTTGAGCACTTGGAAACAGATTGACCTCAAAATTTGAAGCTGAAAATGATTGCTCGTGGTCAGCATTTCCTGTTGCATGTTCAACGTGCAAGGTTCTTTGTTGCATACTCAACTGTTGTGTTTCTGATCATTTATTAACCTCGTTATTTAGAGTGGGTAATTTATTGGTAGATGCAAATAACTGAATGCTTACTATGTCTTTCCAATAGAAACTACTTTATTTCTTTTGCAGTACAAGTTGAATTCATATGGTGTCCACCCATTCTACCTGGGTCTTGAAGAAGACAGCAACGCCCATGGAGTTCTCTTGCTTAACAGCAATGCAATGGGTAAAAAAAGAAAGAGTTAATTTTATTTTCTCAATGTATTTTACTTCAGTGTTCAGTTTTTGCCTTACCCAGGCATTTGTTGCCTTCTTGCACTTCCTCTGTTTTCCAGATGTGACCTTCCAGCCTACGCCTGCTCTGACTTATCGCACAACTGGGGGAATTCTGGACTTTTACATGGTTTTGGGCCCAACACCAGAGCTCGTCGTTCAGGAATACACAGCAGTATGATTTTCCTATTGCAAATCCAAAGTGGTTTGGGTTTTTTCTTTAGTTTACTTTTTTGTTTTGTTTTAGTTTTTTTTGAGGGTGGTGTATTTTGGATTTTTGATGGGTTTTTTGTTTGGTTTTGGTTTGTTCTGATTTCACCTATTTGCAATAAGTATTCTTTTTCATTTTTAGCTGATTGGACGACCAGTCATGCCACCCTACTGGGCACTGGGATTCCAGTTATGCCGCTACGGATATGAAAATGACACTGAAATCGCCAAGTTGGTGGAAGAAATGAAAGCAGCCGGGATACCCTATGTATGTTGAGAGCCATTGAAGCTTGCGATGGCGCTTGAATTTTTGGCTTTGGGATATTGTCTAGTTTAAAACAGTAAAAGAAATGCTATGATTAATGCTGTAGTTCAGCTTTTGCATGCACTTTACAGGGAAGCACGGGGAAACCAAAATAAAGCAAGTTCATTTGCCTTACATGTTGTCCTGTGCTGAGAAAAGCTACTTTTTGGCATGGGTTGTTTTTGGGAAAGTTGCAAAAGCTTTACACCTAAAAAAATTATACCTAAATTAAGCATGGCTTTCATTTTGCAGGTAATTAACATCAAATTATTTCAGTATGGAGCAACTGATTCCCTTGTTTCTGGACAGTGTGTAGTAACATGTATGCAGGCAATGTGTGTATTGACATATATTTATACATATGCACAAATCCAGGAGTGGTTTTTTGCTTGCATGTATGAATTTCTACCTTCACAATAAATATGGTGGTGAAAGCTCAGATTTCAGACTGGATAGGTTGTGGAAATGCGTTCGTCTGATAACCTGAGCTTTAAGCTGCAGCACATTCCAATTTTACATTTTAAAAAAAAAGTCAGTAGTTTGCAAGTGGATGATGAACTTGCTGATGGATGACATCGTTTAGGAAATGACAAAAAAAAAAAACCCTTTTTTTTTTTTTTTTTTTCCTGGTGTGAACTTCAGGATGTCCAGTACGCAGATATTGATTATATGGAACGGCAACTGGACTTCACCCTTAACCCACGTTTCACTGGGTTACCGGATCTAATAAAAAAAATACAAGAAGAAGGAATGAGGTTTATCCTAATCCTGGTGAGTGTTGAATTCTGGTTTTCAATTACAGTATGTTGTTGCAGAATGCATTTAACAGCATTTCTGCGTTTGTCTTTTGACCATGAAAGTAAAATTGTATTACCTTTAATTTTAGGATCCAGCCATATCTGGTAATGAAACTGATTACCCTGCTTTCACAAGAGGTTTGGAGAAGGACGTCTTCATAAAATGGCCCAATACCGATGACATTATCTATGCAAAGGTGCTGTTCTTAAAAAGCTGATTATGTTATCAAAATAAGCATCATGTCAGGTTAGACAGTGGGGAGGCGGCTTCTGATATCATGCACATTCCCAAATTTAGTTGGCACATTGAGTGCTACAAATGGAAATGTCTTCAGTTTCTGTTGCTGTTGGACTGCGTAGCAGCAAAACTTTATTGCTGTTGATACTAATTTTTTTTTAATCCAGTCTAATTTGATTATTTTAACATCTCCCTCCTACTAGGTCTGGCCAGATCTTCCCAACGTAGAAGTTAATGACTCACTGGCTTGGGAAACCCAAGTGGAGGTAAATGTTGATGTCTTTTGGTGACTGACACAGAGAGGGAGCAACAAATTCATTAAGGGTTATAGCAGTGAACTGGCTGATAAAATTTAATCTAAGAAGCTGGATGCAGAAAGTGACCAGTTTTTCTACCAGAGTATCAGAAAAACCTAAGTAACACCAGAGTGAGTTGCAGAAACTGTCCAGCCTTTCTGCCAGAACATCTAAAAACTGTAGCAAACCCATGGATTTTTTAAGAAAAAACTAATTTTTTTTTTTTTTTTAAAAAATGAAACTAAATGCCAACATTTTAGTAGGTGTTTGCTTTCAGTCCTGTGTCTATGCTTTTCTTTTTCCTGCTACTTTTACAGCTCTACCGAGCGTATGCAGCTCTTCCAGATTTCTTCCGCAATTCCACAACTGAGTGGTGGATGAGAGAAATCACTGAAGTCTACTCCAATCCACACAATGCATCGAGAAGCTTGAAGTTTGACGGCCTATGGATTGTAAGTGTAAAAAATTATTCCGAGATTTTTCTGCATCTTTTTATCCTAAGATTGGTTCTCAGCGCCTCAAAACCCAACAATGTTCTGATGCCTCCGAGGAAGGCATTCAAAGCTAAATATCATGAAAGGTTGACTAAAGTTTAAAAATTCTTTTTGTTGTTAACAGCATCATTATTTGTTCTATTTTTTTCCCTGCTGAAAAATTTTCCTTTCTCAAGTCTTCATTACTTACTTTTGACCTGCCTAATGGCTCTTTTGCAGTGGTCGTGGTGTTCTGTAAGTTCCTAAAGTCATCTTTTTTTTTTTTTTTTGCCAATCAGAGACTATTATTTTTACCATTATTGCTTCTGCAAGGCAAAATGAGATAAACAACAGGTTTAGCTTGCTTCTTAAATGAAGTGGACTTGCAATAGCTGTAGAATCTATTAAATACTAATATATTCCTTTAGAAAACCACAAAAGATCAAGAAACTGAGAAAAATGTTTGGTATTTTCCCATAGCCCAGCTCTGGTTTACTGCTGCAACCATAGGCAGCAAGGACAAGAGCCATCATTACCAAGTTCAGAGATTTTAGTAATTTACATATCTGTAGCTATATTTTTTGTATTGATTTCACAGAGGAAAACTTGCCCTTTTCCAGAAATATGGTTGATAAATGAGTAGTCCTTAAAACTGAAGCCTCTGCCTACAAGTAATCTCTATGAATTTGATGCTTTACTCTCTGAGAAATGAGATATTCAGAATCTGTCTATGAAGAGAATTTCTCATCAGAAAAATGTATCTGTTGAACCATTGTTTTCTACTGATTTAAAAAAGAAATGCGGTGAGTGGTCCTGAAAATCAAATTTTCCTGCTCACTTAGTTTACTTGGTCAGCCCCCTGACAAAGAGAATTAAATATTAGGGGCACAAACTAAAACAGCTGAAAGGAATTAATTGCCCAAATTTAAGAGAAATTTGTTCATCTGGCATTCATTTTGCTTTATGTTTTCAGGACATGAACGAACCTGCAAGCTTCGTTAATGGTGCTGTTGGCGGCTGTAGAAATCAACAGCTCAACTTTCCACCATATGTACCCCGTAAGTCTGATCACTGCTGTAAACAATTTAAACGTTTTGGGTCAGTCTGGTTTGTATATAACATGATAGGTGTGGATTAAATGCCCAGAGTTAGGTAACCAAATCCATAAATGAACTCATAACAGAAAGTCAGCCAATTTTTGGAGATGATCAACACTCTTAACTCTAGTCTTTGTTGGTGAGAACATTGACTGCATGGCACTTTTTAAAATTAAAGGAGTTTTTTTAGCTAGATTTTGGTATCTATTTTCTATCTAGGGACTTTGCTTTGGATGTGGTCAAGGCTATGGCTTCCAGGGTTTTTTGTAGTTTTTCCAGATGAAAAATGTAATTAATGACCAAAACTTTCAAAAATATCCTTGTGCCTCCTCTGGTTAGTCATTACTTACATGTAAAATTTGAGGAATGATCTTGAAATACTTGCTCTTCTTAGGCAGGCTTTACTTGAGTACTGGTGTAGAGTAGTGTTAATTGGCAATGACTTACTAATGCTTGATTAGAATACTTCTGTTTCTTCCTGATGTGTTTAAATATAATTTCTCAGGAAGCTAAGTATTCAGAAATAGACTTTTTTTTTTTTGGGTATATGGTTGATGTGGTAGTAGTTAAAAAGATTTGCAGTATTTTCTGAGTTAGGATATATTCTGTTTACTCTTTGATCCTCTTCAGTAGGAGCATCTATAACTGAGTTACTATTTCTCTTACTGGGGTGGGTTGACCCTGGCTGGATGCTTAGCGCCCACCCAGCCACTCTATCGCTGCCCTCCTCAGCTGGGCAGGGGAGAGGAAATACAACAAAAAGCTCGCGAGTCAAGATAAGGACAGGGAGAGATCACTCGCCAATTACCATCACAGGCAAAACAGACTCGACTTGGAGAGATTAGTTTAATTTATTACCAATCAAATCAGAGTAGCATAATGAGAAATAAAACCAAATCTTAAAACACCTTCCACCCACCCCTCCCTTCTTCCCGGGCTCAACGTGACTCCCGATTTCTCTCCCTCCTCCCTGCCAGCAGTGCAGGGGTACAGGGAATGGGGGTTGGGGTCAGTTCATCACCCGTTGTCTCTGCTGCTCCTTCCTCCTCAGGGGAGGACTCCTCACCCTCTGCCCCTGCTCCAGCCTGGGGTCCCTCCCATGGCAGACAGTCCTCTATGGACTTCTCCAACGTGGGTCCTTCCCACGGGGTGCTGTTCTTCACGCACAGCTCCAGCGTGGGTCCCTTCCCCGGGGTGCAGCCCTTCAGGCACAGACGGCTCCAGCCTGGGTCCCCCGCGGGGTCACAAGCCCAGTCAGCAAATCTGCTCCAGCCTGGGCTCCTCTCCCCACAGGTCCATGGGTTCACAGGTCCAGACATCCTAGCAGGAGCCTGCTTCAGCATGGGCTCTCCATGGGGTCACAGCCTCCTTCAGGTGCATCCACGTGCTCTGACATGGGGTCCTCCCTGGGCTGCAGGTGGGGACCTGCTCTATCATTAACTTCTCACCGTGGGCTGCCCCAGGGGCTGGGGGGAATCTCTGCTCCGGGCCTGCAGCACCTCCTCCTCCTGCTGCACTCACCGGGGGCTGCGGGGCTGTTTCACATTTCTCTATCACAGCTTCTCTGCAGCATTTTTTAGCCCTTCTTAAATATGTCGTCATCTTCCTGGATGCAAATTGTTAAAATAAAAGTGTCTTTGTTCCCTTTCAAATAGACTTAGGATCTAGATCAGAGGGATTGATTTTCAAAACGCTTTGCATGGAAGGTCAACAATATCTCCCAGATGGTTCCCCAGTCAGTCACTACAATGTCCACAACCTTTATGGATGGTCGCAAACAAAACCTACCCTTGAGTAAGTTGCAGGGTTTTTATCATTCTTTCCAAAATACGTTGCAAGTTAATACTCAGTGTCTATGGTCTCATGATGAAAACTTTCACTGGTTTATTTTCCAGTATCTTCAGTTTATTTTTATTATTGCCTCCTTATTATTGCCTTGTTCTGAATTTTGTTAGGATCATTTTTAACCATTGCTGCAAATTGTAATAATACTTCTGGTCGACAGCTGGCTGAACATGAGCCAGCAGTGTGCCCAGGTGGCCAAGAAGGCCAACAGCATCCTGGCCTGTATCAGCAATAGTGTGGCCAGCAGGACCAGGGCAGTGATCATCCCTTTGTACTCTGCGCTGGTGAGGCTGCACCTCAAATCCTGTGTTCAGTTTTGGGCCCCTCAC